ATTTAAAAAAAATTATCCGTAATTTTATTAACGTTAATATAAAATAATGCTTAAAAATAAACTTTAAAAAAAATAATATTATATAAAAATTAATATTAAAAAATTATTAATTAATTTATGCGATTATAATTAACGATTAAAATAAAATATTAAAATATTATTAATATATATAAATTAAAAAAATAACGTTTATATATATAAGTTATATTAATATAAAAATATTTAAAAAGCTTAATATATTTTATATTATTAAATTTAAGCATAAATAAGTTTAAAGATTTTTACTTAAATTATAAAAAAATTAAAAACCTTAAAATCCATAAAAATTATTAAATGAATTTAAATATACACTCTAAGCTCAGACCTTTTATTACATTAGCATTATCATCGCGCTGCGCAAATTCATCCCAGCCAGCCAAGCCCTCGACATCAAGATATACGACAATACCAATCATGCCGCGGAGCAAGGCTCCCCAGGAGTCAGCACCAGCCGGCTAGGAGCCGGTTTAGGCCTCCGCGTGCTGGAAAACTTTGACTTGGCTTTAAAGTAAAGGGTCTACGCCGCGGGCTTCCCGTGTACGCATTTCGCGTGGAAGACGGCGGGCGATTGGCTGCTGGGGCGGGAGCACGCTGAGGTCTTGCCGATTTCACGGCCGTTTCTTATTACTTGTCTTCGGGACTCTCTGCCTGAAGGTTCGGTTGTTTATAGAAAAGTGGCCGGAATTGTTGTCTAACAAGGAAAGAGACCGGTTGTTCAGTTTGAGGACGGGTCGCCGGATGAGGTTGCGTGATTTGGTGGTTGGTGCGGATGGGATTCGCAGCACTGTTCGGCGGGGGTTGTTTGGTGGGTATGAGAGGTATATACCTCAGTATGCGTACCTAAGTTGGCGATAATGAGTGATTGCTTGGCTTTAGTGTCTGATCGTAAATAGTGGCAACTGCGCCGTTGGCGGCGTTCTCGAAGTTCCCCTGCCGCAACACCTCCTCGCTGACCCGAGCATGCTCTTCTATATGGGCTCCACAGGGGTCTTTGGCTACACCGGCCTCACCCAGTCAGATAATAATAAGCTTCTCTGGTGGTCCGTCTACGACACGGATCTTCCCGGTAAGGGTGATTCTTTAGACCATAACTTGATTCTTCGACAGCTGCGTAATCGCCACGGAGATTGGACAGACCCGTTTATCCGTCAATGCCTAGAGAAAGCCAGCCTCGATAACATATACCCCATCTTCGTCATGCCCGTCTTTCCGTACTGAGGCCGTGACGGCTGCGTGCTCATCGGCGATGCAACGCATGCCTTGCCCCCGAGAAGCGGACAAGGAGCCAGCCAGGCCTTTGAGGATGGAGAGGCGTTGGGTCGACTGCTTGCTGATTATCTAGAAAGTGGGAAAGGTTCAGATGAAGCTATCTCACGATCGATACTAGGTCTATTCGAGGTTCGCGCGAAGAGGGTTGGTGATATTCAGGCGGACGCGATGCGCTGGAAGGACCCAAAGATACCCATGTCGTGGCTAAAGACGTGCGGTCTTTACGTTGCCTTGTTTTCATTGGTTAGAGTGAAGAATTTTATCAACTGCTTCGGCTCTAAAGAGGCTTGGAGTGTGGAGGATGCGGTGAGTACGTATCTGGCTGGTTAGTTGGCTGTACCGTTTACGCTCAGAGACATATCGACACGGCGGGACTACATTTACACTATTCACATTACTTCTTATGCTTTTTATTTGAGATTTAGGTTTATGCCAAACCCGTTAAAGGGAGAGCTTGAAGAGTAATCGGTTTGATAAATCTCGAATCCCGCATCAAGCCAACACCTAGGTAGGTATGAACATAAGCTATCTTCTGCCTAACTAACCCTGAGTTGCAGTTCTTCTCCCTCTCTGACCTTTCCAATCGAACTCCATATGTGCATTAGCGGACCCCGAGATAAGTCATACTTCTTGTTCTTGTGTAGATCCTATCATCGTCCAGGCTCTCCATAGTGTAGAGTATTGAGTATATCTTGGAAAATACCCCTGAAGTCGAACGATTGCTTTTCAGATATCAGTTGGCCCATGTTCAAGTTGAGGAGGCGCATAGTATGAACATTTCTAGCGCCAGGTCATCTTAAGCAGGTCAACAGCCATCTCTGGGATCTCGTCTAGAAGACCTAAGAATCTCTTTTCCTTGATGGCCAGGTATTGGGTGTTCATTGCAAACTGTACCACCCGTTCTCGCAGAGGAGCGTAGAATGTCGAATCCGAGTTGTATGCTATCTTCGCTGCATGGAAGAAAACATCGATGTCCCCGCACGGTGCCTCGTAGGGGTTTCTATGCGAGTCCCTGAGCTTCTGGAATATATTGCCGGCGATCTCGACCGCTTTGTTCATTAGGCCGCGTAGCTGGAAAAGTTCGGCAGCCCTGGCGAGCTCAACAGGCCCTTGTGCAGCAAACTCCTTGGTAACTGCATAAATATGTCAGCACGAATCAATCCCAGAAGCCACAGAGGTACTTACTCTCCCCAGTGTATAGATATCGTATCACACCATCCACGTCCTCGGGGATTTGGTCCTTCAAAGTGAATCTGCTAGTGGTGGCCTCCTAGATAGTATATGTTAACCTTTTCCTTCTTGATCTTCAAGTTTCCATATGGGTGATAAGAGCATGGGTATCTGGTATGTTCTTTTCTCTGTCTTACCTTGGATGAACCGCTGAAGACGGTGTTAAAATAAGGGCATCGGACACAAATCACTGCCCTATGGAGCTTCCAAGTGCGATTTCCGCATGAAACCGTAACGTCTGAGAAGTTTCCGGATTCCAGAAGGCTATTTAAGATGGTGTCAGTACTGCTATGGATAGGGCTGAGGTATTGCATTAGCAAAGTTGGACTTACTCCCTTCCAGATTCCTTAAGCAGTTCTGCTTCATTCTTGTATCCTCTAAGCATATGTGCCATGTTGGGAAATAAAAGCTTTTTCGTGTTCGTATCAGTTTCAAGCTCACGTCTTGTATGATTTTAAGACAGTTAAAAGTCTAAAGAGTTGGAAAGTAAAAGATTGTTTTGGTGCTTCCAATTCACAAAGATTAGGTACCTGGTACCTAAAGTAAAATAGGCAGGTCCAACTGGAACATTAAGCACCTGCCTGAGGCAAAATGCTTCATTTAAGTCATGTAATACCATACCTTATAATTGAAACTTCCAGCTCGGTTTGGTTGTCTTTGGAATATCATAGTTCCCTCTGTTGCAGCCACCGGTGGTACGCGTAAAACAAGAACGCAGTGGTATTTACCTAGCATCTGATAGATGATTGAAGATGCAACTAGCTCAGCTCGTTCTTATGCTTATATTCCTTATTCTATTGCCCCTCCGTAATCCCTCATATTTGACTAGTATCTTCTTAATCTAGCAAGCTTAGGCTCCGCAACAATAATCACTTTCCCAAGCATGATCATGATTATCAATGTCAGCGCCAACGCGACGGTTCTACCTATCTAGATATTAGAAGGCCATTTTATCAATACAAGCCACATCACAAATACACGCGTGGGCGATATTATGCAACAATCCAGTTCTAAAAGCGCAGTGAATGTATCTCCTCCACCAGCTGCGAAAGTACCCCTTACCCCTGGAAGCCACAATTCAGGGGTTGCTGACTAAGCTAATATTCACCCGGAGATGAACTGTATTGCGAGTGTACATTTCACGGATTATTTAAGGGCTAGTCACTCAGTCCCTCGAAAGTAAAATTAAATAATTGGCGGGTAGACTATCATCTCTATACACAAACTACAGCTAAATTATCCCGCATCTTTTCAGTAGAACATCAGAGACAGCAACCTCTAGTCGCACTAGTAGGCAGTCGTGAAGTTACTCCCAAAGGTATTCCCAGGTAGTAGTTCCCTCTGTCGTGTACGTCCTGATCTCGGTGGAGTAGCAGCCCTCAACTTCAGTCTTTCCGGCATATATCTGGTACGGGATCTCTCTAGGCTCCCCCTCTCCAACGGGGCAGATTCGCCAACCTCCATTTTCGTTATTCGCAAGACCGACGGGAGCCCCAAACGCCTCACTTCGGGAACGCAAAAAGCCCGTCGTTACAGCTCCCTCGGGTAAGGCGGCTGAGTGTGGTACGGAATAAGAAAGGGATCCGTCAGCGGCGATGTAGACTAGTTTCAAGTGCAATTAGTACGTTGTTTCTATCTGTAACAAGACACTCTAGCTCTACATACCTTGCTGGCCACCTGGAACAGCAGTATTCAAGCCCACTGTATTGTTTCCTCCTACGAAAGAAGTTTGGGTTCCTGGGTACAAGGAGCAGTCAAGATTCTCGACGCCCTCCGGGCAATACGAAGTCGTGTTCTTGTTAAGCCAGAATTTCCCATGGTGGGCATTGATGGCGTCGCCAGTGAAGAATACATCATCCCCCGCGGGAATCCTCCACTACAAAAACCAGTTAGCAATTACTGTTCCAATCCTTTAGGTGCTCTAGCCGCAACAGCTAGATACAGGCGATACGTACAACGCCGGCTGTCCAGGGCCCTTCTGGGACTGAGCCCGCTCTGGGCCCAACCGCGGCAGCGAAAGCTGCAAGGGGGCAGACTGCGATGCTCAAAAATGCTCTCATTGTCAATACTTATACGGTAGTGGGAGGAATTATTCTGAAGTATAATGATGGAAGTCTCAGTTGAAAAGTTCTTGAATTAGACGAGTTAAATATTTATTTTGAGGGAATACGAAGGAAGCATGACTTTATAACTTCTACAAATCACCAAAATCAGTCATTTTTACACGCCATTCTCGATCACACGTTACTTGAATATGACTTTGAATAAGACGACTCTTGGTGACCTGGTTACGAGTTCAATTGCGACACTAAGGCGGGTCGCCAATTTGTTGCTCCTATCCTGAGCCTCCGGTTCTACCGGTTAATATCATGACGAATGCCAACACGCCAAACACGCGAAAAAATATGCAGATGAATACGAGAATCTAGACCAATTATGTCTATTTTAAGTTAGATGCAACAAGCCCTCTACGTTTTGACATTACATCCAAGACGACTAAGTCGAGGTTACACGACCTTCGAATACACGTACTTGCAAGTAAGAGCAAGAGGCAGTCTTCTTGATCATTCTAGATCACGAGTACTCATATTAATCACCATTACTTCCAAGATAAGGTAGTAACGTTCAATCAGAGTCAGATGTGGCCTTCAACGCAGACGCTGCCTCTTGTACAAGGGCTGCTGCATGCCCACCTACTTATGGGCCGACGCGATGATCTGAAAAAATACGAATCCAGTGAATAGAAGACAGTGTATAAAGCTATATAAGCTACCTAATGCATCTATGCATCTATCACTCCGGTGGAGAGGCCACCTCGTCGCCACCACTGCGCTCGACAGCTTTAACCGCAGCCGCGAGATCGACATGGAAGTGCGGATAGTTGATACCATGTGTGACCGCGAGCGCCATTCTAGTATCGATTGTATCCTGAGGCTCTGCGTTTCCCATTTCCGCAAGTTCGATATTCTCCGCGAGTCCAGCGGTAGCAGCAGGCGGCTCCTGGACCGGGGTGTTAACATCCCTCGGCGATGTAGTCTCGGCAAGATTGAACACCGGACGCCATAGTCTGCCTTGCGACTCTAGTTCTCGCGGGCTTGGGTAGCCAAACCCTGCTGCGGCTAATGCTCGCCTCACCCAGCGACTGTTCACCCCTGCAAAGTGCCACCCGACCGGCTCGGGATCAGCCCAGCGGTCTAGTTCTTTTCTAAGTTCAACCAATCCGTCGATTGCGCCTGTGTCTGTGCCGTCGACTGTAGAGAAGTCGAAGATGACCGCTTTGAGAGCTGGTTTCGCTGGTTGGTCAGAAGGCTCCTCGGCATTGGTATCGACAGGTTCATTCCATAAACGGTCCTGTTATATCTATTAGCGCTTTTCCCATATTTATTCCTGGTACTACTTACAGCTGAGCCTCCGTGGTGGGCTTCCGTGGTGCGACGAGTCTCGCTCTTGATATATTCAGAGAGTAAGTCCATGTGTTGAGATTGGTTGATATAATTCAACCCTTCTGGGAAGCGGTATACGAAAACTCCCGGAAGAGGCGCCTCAATCGATATGGATGGATTCGAGCCGTCCTTTCGATCGAGCGGGAGAAATACGTCTCTTGAATCTCTCATTTGTGGCTCGTAGGAACTATTTACGGCAGAGTCGGATTGGCCGGGACCCAGGTAGGGATAAATGCGAACCCGGCCAAGGAATCTACCCGGAGCGCGAGCGAGCCGTATCAAGAGCATCGCTGCAGAAAGGCCAGTTGATACATATATCCCAATCTCCAAGGAGTTAAAGAAGGACATCAACACCCCAACAACAAAGATGATGAGGTCAGGAGGCGACATCAACCATGTCTTGTAGAGAAATGTCGGAGACTCTACGAGGTTGATGACGGCGTGTATGATCAAAGCTGCCATACTAGCGCTTGGAAACCATTTCAGGACTTTGCGAATCTCGTATAAAGTTAGAATGATCATGGCTGCGTTTACCAATCCTGCCAGGGGTGTTTTCGTCCTAGTTTTGTCAAGTATCGCGCTCCCGCCGAATGAAGCCGTCGAGGCATATGCGCCGATGAATGGGCCAATAATGTTAGTTGCGGATAGCGACACCAACTCTTGCGAAGGTGATATGCTATAGCCATTTCTTCGTCCA